ATATTGATATTGCAATGTATCACTGTATTTACATCCTTCCGTTATCATTTGATGTCGGAATGTTCTCTTCATGTTCCAATTAATATATATTTGTCTGGATGTCTATTAAGAATACTGTCTGGCCTATACGCAGACTTCTTCTATATCACCCCAATAGTTATTTGTATCAGATATCATATCGAGCCTTCTGTCTGTGATCAGTTCAGCTAATCATTTGAAGAACTCTCTCACGCTCTCATCCGTCAATCTACCTTCTATGCCCGCGTGCCCTGCGCATCCGTAGGTGATGATGATTGGTAACGATCCCCGGCAGAACAGTCTGGGCTATACGGACGACTACCACACCGAGATGGAGAAGCCCTCCAACGATCCCCAGAATAATATCCTACTAGGTGGGTCAACGGTTGAGTGGGTGCTAGACTATGGCCTGAGATAGCTGTTTCTGCGCCAGTTAGCGTGTCTGTGGTGGTGTCATGTATATCTGTGGCCATGTTATTCGCTCTGTGTGCGGCAGGTATCTCTGCACACGCATCACACGTGTGAAGGGGCTCGTGTCTTATTGCGTTCGCCCTACACTAGTCTGTCTACCTCTGAATATGTTTGCATGGTCTGGATATGATTAGTTCCAGTAGATGCCGCATAGGTGAGCGTATATATGCTATTGTGTGGTGCTGTTGCACTCTGGGGATGTTGTTAGTTCCGTTGTACTCGTTTGAACCTGTCTGTATAAGTCATTCGACTAGCCCATTCATAGACGATTAGAAAGTTGCTTTGATGATCGACTGTCCACAAATGCTCGCACATACGCTGCACTTAAAGCGAACATATGTATGCATATATGCACTTACAAGGGAAAATACATGGGCACACTCAGTTGTATTGATAGGTAGCGCCTCCGACCATTTATACATACCACCCCTTTGTAGCAGAAGTTAACAATGCGACCCACGCTCACAGCCGATCTCTGAAGTTGTTAAGGCTATAGGTTGCCGGTGAGAGCGTTCGCACGCTGTTGTTGTGGTGTGGCAGTAGCTATACATTGTGTTCTCCTGGAACAAACCTTCACACACCCGTACGTACTCATCTCAGACAAACCACCGCAAGAACACGCACGTTACACTCGCACACCCACAAACACCCCACTCACTCGTCCCTTCTCCATTCGGAACATGCACAGACTGTCATACATACGCTGCTACACGCTAATCCTCACAAGCCCTACAGATGCAACACAGCACCCCTTACGCACATATCTGTCCTCACATCACTCTCCACAGACACACACCTCCACCCACACTTTCAAATCCGCCAATGGCTGCTAGTCTGACACATGTACCATCCCTGTTGCTCTTATATCTGTGTCTCATTTGTCCTTCTCCTTCCCTGACCCTGCACCCATTCCGCGTATTCAGGTCACAAGTGTTCTCATACCTGTGTCTCATTTGTCCTTCTAACCCTAAACCCTGCACCCATTCCACGTATTCAGGTCACGAGTGCACGAGCCTCAATGTGCGCGACAAGACGCTTGTGTTGAACGACGGCACCGTGGTGGGCTTTGACAAGGTGTTCCTGGCCATGGGAGGTCACTACCCCAAGCTCAAGAACGTGCGCCCCGAGTGCATGGAGCGTGTGACGACCTTCCGAAGGTACGCGCTGGCACGCTTGGGTGTGCATTGTGTGGTGCTTTGTTGTGCGGTGTGGTGTTGTGGTGTGTTTAGTTGGCTGCGTGTTCATTGTATGGCTGGTGTTGTTTGCATTGTGTGGTGTGTGTTGTGCTGCGTGGTGTGTGTTGTGCTGCGTGGTGTGTGTTGTGCTGCGTGGTGTTGTGGTGTATTTCGTTTGCTGTGTGTTCATTGTATGGCTGGTGTTGTGCTATGTTGTTTGGTGTGGTGTGGTGTTGTGTTGTTGAATGATCCTACTACGACGAAGCGGTGTGCAATGTGTGGCACGCGTGGTCTTGTGACGTGTGGTGTTGTGGTGTGTTTCCTTTGCTGTGTGTTAATTGTATGGCTGGTGCGGTGTTGTGCTATGTTGTGTTGTGCTGTGTTGTGTTGAGTTATCTTACTACGACGAATCTGCGTTCTGTGTGCATGGACCGTGCGGCTATTGCTCGAGTGTATTTGGTTTGCACTTGTGTATCTATTTGTGCGTTATTTGTGTTGTACAATACATAAAGAACTCTTCTACTTTCCGAAGGCACCAGGTAGCTTACTTGTGTGTGTGTGTTGCTGGCGTTGGTACCTGGGGTTGTGGTTGGTGTCTGTTCTATTCAATGGTCTGGACGAGATTTGCCTTGTATGTGGGTATACGGAACACGTTGCCATTGTCCGAAGGTACTAGGCTCATAGTTCGTAACCTGAAGGTACTAGGTTTCTAGTTTGTAACCTGCGCGTGCATTGCTGGCGTTGCGGTGGGTGTTTGCTTGGTTTGTGTTGCGTTGTGTTAAATAGGTCTCACTTCGACGACATTTCTTGCCGAAGACATACGGACACGCCTTTCGTGTATAC